TGTGTGTGTGTGTGTGTGTGTGTGTGTGTGTGTGTGTATGTGTTGGGGGAGGGGTCTGCAGCATAGATGACAACGCTTGCTGCAAAGCAGGAGAAAATGAGCGCAGAGGAAGTAGAGAACTTATTTCTAGTTGTATTTCTAGCAGGGGAACCGGTTGGAAGTTGATTATTTGGTGTTATTTAAACATCCTTCAGGCTCTGATATGTTAGTTTAATTTGAAACTGAGGTTTTGAAAAAATCCATAAAACATAAAAATCTGTGAGACTGCTCTATACGTCCGTATGCCTGCAAAATGATAGAAAATCTGTGTAAATTACAGACAATCCATACAACTTGACATGTATGGATCTGGCCCGCACCTGCATGCAACATGGGGCAACTCACGTCTGCAAAATTACATCAGACCAAACTAAATTTCTGAAACATCTTTTGAGCCGATATAACTAAAGTAGAAATGCTTGTCCACAATGCACAGCATCATATCTAGATAAACCCAAATGCATCATTTTAAAACAAACACCTCATACCAACTGTCAGGTAATATGGAAGAGGAGCAATGATCAGAGCTCAGATTACAGCAACAAGAGTTGGGGACCTTTCATAACATGAAATTCTCTGTCTATAGATTTATTCCAGAGCTTATTGAGAGGCCATCTGTGTGATTACTAAAGCTTTATAATAGCTGTGCTCAAACAAATATCTGCAAACTCCAATGAACTGAAGCAACGTTGTAAAGAACACGGTTTCTGTTGTCAGAACTCCATAAAGCCTGTTCACAAATAAGCAAACCAGTTTCTGTCTCTACAGTAAATTGGTTTGGGGTTTGAAGACCTCTTATCTGCTTCTGTAGAGAAGAAGTCTATTATTATAACATCATGTCAATACTCAGACCACCTTATTTTTCAGGGTTTCAAGACGCTACCTTTTAGAATAGCTATTAAAAAAAAGTTCATTATTTTTAAAGTATTCAATGTTTTTTGGCAGCTCCACTGAGATCTGTCATGTTGGTGTTTTTTCTTTGGCCAATATCTAAAGCCAACAATCACTCCACTAAGGTGTCAGGTCAGTCATTAAATCAAGCTTTGTTCAGCTCAGGCAAAAATAGTTTTTTTTTTCTAAACATCATTCAGAATCCAATATCCACACCTTTGTAGCCCCTCAGCTAGATTACTACAATGCTCTTTAAATAAAGGTCAATGGGTCTTTTATCACTCAGCTTACAAGGTACAGAAAGCTACTGTCTTTTAACTAACACATGCAAATGTTTCACCTATTTCTTATTCATTATGTTTTCATTTGATGGCTACTTTTGTTTTATTTGTTATGCCTTTTATTTCTTCTTCTGTTCGACACGTAGGTCCTGTGGTTGTTTAAAATGCTGTATAAATAAAGCTGGTATAGTACAGGATTAACGGATTGGAAAATAAAGCCCCGATAAAACTCAAAAGTAGCATTCCTTGAAAGAATGCATGTTGCCCACTGCCTTGCAACGTTTTAAACACAAATCTTGTGCAGCCTGCTACCTCCTAAAATTATGTGTTGGAGATGAATCTTAGCTACTACCAAACAATATTTTAGAGATATTTGTAAAAATGACTGCATTATAGCCATTTTTGTGTTTTGTAAAGTGGACTACCTTATTTATGCATGGATGATGCCTGAAACAATATTTCAGCTTTGTACAAGAAAATAATGAAACCTTTTGTGGAAGTACATTAGAAAAAAATCATTCAAACTTTATTCCCATGTGCAATATGTCACACCAAATCTATGGATGATTTTTGGGATTCAGTTTTTATCAACACACAAAACAATAGTTATGAACATCTAATGATTTCTTTGAGAGTTTTATAAAAATCCATCTCCTGCTTCATGATTTATTTTGCTAACAAACAGACCAACAAACTCACAGGCATTGAATGACTACAAGTCATGAAACACCCAACCAGTAGTCAAATAGGTCAGTGTAGTGCTAGCACTGTACATGATCACCCACCACTTCAGAAATATTTCAGAAGTGTGAATCTGAGCTTTGATTGAGTTGCCATAATTACTTTAAATAAGTCTAATTATAATAAATCTGATTACTGACATAGGTTTTGAGTGTGACAAAAGGTTTGAAAAAGAAAAGTTGCATCAGAAGAACCTATAAATCCATTTTCCTTTGGCGGTGCAGCAATTACTGAACAATTTATCCATTTACATAAAGTCCCAACACACAGATGAGTCGAGAACCCCCCTTTGGCTGCAGCACCAGTCAAACCCAACAGAAAGTCATGAATTTGAACTTAACAGTTCTTGAAATTCAGCTGGCAGCTGGCCGAGCTCGTCATCTGCCAGTTTGATGTGTGCTTCAAGAATCTGGCCCAAACAAATGAAGTGTGAGCCAAAATCTGAACAAAGACTCAGAGAAACCATGAAACCACCCTGCTGTGGTCCGGTCACGTGAGCTGCTCTGCATCGCTCTGCTTTTGTGTTACTGTGGTATTTTAATGACGGCTAACAAATAAAACTGAGCAAGAGGCTTCAATATCATATTTTATCCACCGTTCCTGAACCCAAACCTTAAAAGTTTTGGAAGTTCTTTTGCCGCGTTAGTTTCAAAACACATCATGGAGAAAGAAGACTGAACAGTACAAATATTTTACTGTGGCTCAACAATTATACAGCTTTAAAAAAAACTTGTACTTTGCGTCAAAATTACCACTAAATCACGCTGTCATAATAAAAGCAGATGATCCACCAGTTTTAACTTTCCTGCTGAACACTGGACTTCAACTTGAGCGTGTCTCAGTTGTGCGGTGAACACATGATCTTACAGAAGCAGCAGCAATAAGTTTAAATCTTTAAGATTATTCAGCTCCTTGAGTGATCAGACAGATCCCTTCTGATGTCACTTTATCTGCAAATACAAGCCACTAGTTTTCATGGCAACACTACATAATAAAATACAAGACTAAAAAAAATAACTAATTTACCAAAATGTGAAAGCTGTTAAATGGTCAAATTACTTTTTCAAAAGACAATGAGAATTTATTTAAGAAAATCAAAAACGAGACCATTAAAGACTCTAAGATGTTTTATTAAGCAATTTATTTTTTGATATTGTTTAAGAATGTTATGTGAACAGTGCTAATAAAGAAATAACTAATGGATGAATTTCTGTGCAGCTAATCGTATTGTTTTACCTGAAAGTGAGCTTCATTACTTTTTAAGTTTTTAATTTAAAAAAAGACACTAAAATAATATTTTCTGTTATAAATCTTTACAATCATAAACTGAGTTATCTTTATTATCACTAGAAGAGTACAGTAGCCTCAGTATTCGTACTACATTCACTTTCTGCAGTATTATTTTACTGTTCCCTACTACAAGAATCTTTTTATTGATCCAAACTCATAACAGACTATTGCACAGTTGTCTGAATGTGTATTCAGACCCTTCAGAACTAACTTACAGCTTCATGTCTTTACAGGGCTTTTAAATTGCCATAAAAATAAATACTGTATCAAAGTTGTAAAGTAACTATGTACAAATACTTTGTTACTGTACTTAAGCAAAGTGTCCTGATGCATCTCAGTAATCCAGGTAAAAAATCAAAAGGAAAAAATATTGTATAGTCCTCTGGACGGGTTCTTCTTTAATGAAACGTTTCGTCTCTCTTCCAAGAGACTTCTTCAGTCTGAGAGTTTCAGACAAAATTCAGGCTTTTGAGTCCTGCCTCCATGTGACTGATACTCACATCACATGGCTATCGCTCACACCTAATTAATAACTATTGTTAACAGGGGGTGAAGAGATACTGCCAATGGCAGCGCTGTAGGAGGGGGACAGCTGAAAACGGAGGCCCCCACCTCTGTTTAATGATGGACGGTCTTTCTCATGGACGATGTTCTCATTCTTGATAGGGAGGCACGTTGGTTTGAGAGAGGAGTAAAAGAAGCCATTTTTGTAAAGAAAGACCGTCCATCATTAAACAGAGGTGGAGGCCTCCGTTTTCAGCTGTCCCCCTCCTACAGCGCTGCCATTGACAGTATCACTCCACCCACTGTTAACAATAGGTATTAATTAGGTGTGAACGATAGCCATGTGATGTGAGTATCAGTCACCTGTGAGCGATAGCCATGTGATGTGAGTATCAGTCACATGGAGGCAGGACTTAAAAGCCTGAATTTTGCCTGAAACTCTCAGACTGAAGAAGTCTCTTGGAAGAGAGACGAAACGTTTCATTAAAGAAGAACCCGTCCAGAGGACCTATACATTTTTTTTCCCTTTTAAGCAAAGTGCAGATACACAAAAATTCTACTTGAGTAATTATTTTTCAGCCTACTTTTTACTTCTACTTCTTTTTCACATAATTATCTGTACTTTCTACTCC